CTTTAAAGGTGATTTTCTCAATATTTAGATTTTTTTTGCACCCTCAGATTCCAGATTTTCAAATAGTTGTATCTCGGCCAAATATTGTCCTATCCTAACAAACCATACATCAATGGAAAGCTTATTTATTCAGCTTGTATAAATCTCAATTTCGAAAAATTGACCCTTATGACAGGTTTTGTGGTCCAGGGTCTTAGTTGAACTATGATTTGCATGCACATCCTGTATGCATTTAGGCTGTAGTCTCTGATGTCCAACACAGCATAGTTTAGCATTGCTTCACAGATCGTATAGTCAGGAGAACGTGCAAAGACATGTATGAAAGAAAGAGTCACTGCATAGTACTTACAAGTTCCTACGTGAATCTGAAGATTGAATCATTATACAGGCATCTATGTGCCTTGAAATTTCTTCAGTGTATTGGTGCAATTTTTGAGGTCTTGCATATTTCCTTCAGATATACTTGTCATTAGTGATGATCTTTTTGTGCTGTTTATTAAAAATCCTGTACTACATTAACAAATGCAATAACTGCAAAGTATATTAATATGCAAATGACCTGCACTGTTCTTTTAAATGAATCAAGACATGCCGAAAGTGATGTCATATCTCAGTCAATCCAATTCTGTTTATGATGAACCAACCTGATTACATTTTAATGCAGTTAGAGTTTCATTTCCTAATGAACTCTATTTAATTAGAAGCACTGAGTACATTAGAACAGCCATTACTTTACATTCTGTGACATGGAACGTCAAAGCAACTATATAAATACTCATTTGAACAAATCAGCATGTTGTACACTGTTAAACTGTGAAAGCAACATAATCCTACGGTTTAAAGGGGTCATATGATGCATATGATTATTTTTTGTATTTGGTGTAATGAAATATGTTTCTGCGGTTTAAAGTAAAAAAAAAACATATTATTTTCCACATACTGTACATTATTGTTTCTCCTCTATGCCTCGCCTTTCTGAAACGCGTCGATTTTTACAAAGCTCAGCGGTCTGAAAAGCGAGGAGTGCTCTGATTTGCCAGCTATCTAGTGCATTGTGATTGGCTGAATTCCTCAAGCGTGTGATGGAAATGTTACGCCCCTTACCATACTGTGATACATGTCCCTGAGCGACGAGACAAAAACATTAACACCCATTATAAACGAGGCATTTGTTGCGTCCAGTGGGGACATAATTACAGATTATAATGACTTATACTGTCTTTTTACGCGTTGCGTTGCATCGCGCCGCGTAAACATAAAGCCATGTCTGCATTTGTGATCGGAGAAACGCCAAACAACAAGTGCTACTCTACACTGCTCAAAACTCGCGTTTGAATCATCAGTGGCAAATTCTTTAAATATGAATATGTACTTACAGTCTGTGAGTCAGAACAGCCGTAGTAGTCTACTCTCCCAGGATCAGGAAACAGTCCTCCATAAAATGCGTAGCACACATCTGAATATTTGGGTTGAACTGTTCTGGAACAGTGTTGTAAATGCAACTTAACCACTGATTTCTAGTCGTGTGCTCTTTTGGAAGGCCAAGTCTTTTTGCTTTCGCAACGAAACACACAGCGTCTTCACAACATGGAGGCGGCGGTGGCAGCAAGAATAAAGTTACACCTTCTTTCTTTGCGTGAACATTTGGGCGGTGTTATGCAAATATTCCCACACAGTGACGTAGACATGTGGAGGCGTGTTAGAACGAGGCGTTTTATGTAGGTGTGGACTAGTCTTAACTTTTATAAAGAATATCTCTTTGGGTTTGAGACTTTAGTCTTTGTAACTTTAGGGATCTTATATATTCACAAACAGCTTGCAACACTCCAAAGAGAAAGGAAAATTTGTAGGTAATAATTTTGTCAAAATTATTGATTTTTATTTTATACCAAAAATCATTAGGATATTAAGTAAAGATCATGTTCCATGAAGATATTTTGTAAATTTCCTACTGTAAATATATTACAACTTAATTTTGATCAGTAATATGCATTGCTAAGAACTTCATTTGGATAACTTTAAAGGTGATTTTCTCAATATTTAGATTTTTTTTGCACCCTCAGATTCCAGATTTTCAAATAGTTGTATCTCGGCCAAATATTGTCCTATCCTAACAAACCATACATCAATGGAAAGCTTATTTATTCAGCTTGTATAAATCTCAATTTCGAAAAATTGACCCTTATGACAGGTTTTGTGGTCCAGGGTCACCTATATAATATATATATATATATATATATATATATTTTTTTTTTAATGGGAAAAAACATGTGTGTACAGTCAATCATGAGCATCAGGTAAGAGTTAATATGATCTGTTTTATTTAATAAAATGATTAAAATATATTAGAATAATTAAAAGAAAGTAAATAAATAAATGTTTCAATTTTTTTTTTTATTAAACTATTTAATAAAATAAAATATATTAATAATTTTGATCAATATTAATAATTTTACATGATTAATATGATTTAATATGATTTGATTAAAATGTATTATTTATTACAATTTATTAAAGAATATTATTAAATCATTTTTTTTATGTAATAAGTAAAATTATCAGTTAAATTATTTTAAAACAAATTGTTGTGCTCATGGATTTTTTGAGGCCCATACTGAGCTCATTCATACCTGACAAGATGAGACATGAGCAACTTTACGTTAATTTGATTACGATTGATTTTTAGTTCTAACTTCAAAAAACATCTAAGGCAATCTAAGGTCAAGCAAATTAATTAATGTTACTTCTTCACTTAGAATTAGCTGACATGGCCATCTGCATCCACTCTCCTGATTGAAAGGTTTGTCACCGACAATGTAAATATTTAGCATTCCTCAGATGACTTCAGCACAAAGCCTGAGGATCTGTGTGTGTGTGTTCACATGTATGTAAAGCCAAGGGGATTTACAGGATATGAAGCATCATGTTATTTCTCCATCCTAAAGACCACAGTAGTCACCCTGTCATTACAAGCAGCAACTCACAGCACAAGCACAAGTGACAGCACAGAAGAGACGGGTCAAAACCTGTTGCACAGGATTTGGCAGCCCACTGTTGTTGTTTCTTTTCAGAAGGGTCAAACGTGACTTTTACGATAAATGTATATAAAATGAGAGTGTGGAAAGTACTGTTTTGAAGTGTGTGAGTGGGAGCAGTGTGTTTCTGAATGACTCTTGGCTAAATTAAAGTGATAGACAAAGAGAAAGACAGTCCTGCTGAAAAAAACTCCTGCTTAATCCAGGTTTACTGGTGTTAAACTATTTTAGGTCTACAGCTGGTCTCTCAGTGCCCAAACCCCCTCTAAAACCAGCCTGGGAAACCATGTATGACCAGTAAACCAGCTTAGGCTGGTTTAAGATTTCAGCAAAGAGAACCCTACCTAGACTATCTTTAAACCGCCATGGATTTCCAAGCTGGTTTATGATGATGTTCCTAATAAAAAAAAAAAAAGTAATTCTACGTGAACTTTCAATTAAGCTTGTTGACTGAAGTAAGCCAGCTGGTTAAGCTAGTTTAGAAGCCTGATAGGACATCAGACCACATATGCCAGCATCCAAAACACAACGCATGCTGGGCTTTTCAACCTGGCTTTCTCTAATAACAGGCTTTAATCATCATTGCTTAAAGAAAGTCATTAAAGAATCATGCCTTAATGTGTCCGCCCAAGTTTTAAATCATTCCTATGCCCGTCTACACAGACATACGCGTACAAACATGTGTTTGGTGCTTGTTCTCAGTGTGCCATGTGTTTCCTCTTCAATATCTCCCCACAGCACCTGAATAGTAAGGTCTGAGTATGTGATGATGTCACGTATTGTGCAAAACTCTCCTTATTACCCAATACTGCCTGTTTTTTCACTGTTTATTTACTGCCATTTTCATTCTTTGCATGTGGTAAAAGTCCAGTGTTGTTTTCTTTGTAAAGTTAGCATGTGTGTGACTCATATGCATGTGTGCGACTCTTTCAACTCTGCCTGAAAAGTTGTTTTTCAATATGACCAAACAATGTTTAAACCTGATCATAAAGGAAGTGAAACTCTTTTACCCCTTTTTTCAGTTAAACCCACAACAGCTAATTTCTTCTGACACATGCTGCTATAAAAAGGCTCCCATCAACTATCCAAAGCCTGAGTTTACAGAGCTTAGGACATGGTTGACCCTGAATACGAGACATCACACTCTTTATTTCAGTAGAAGGTGTGTTTTCTTCATATTGCTGGCTTATAAAGGAAGACTGGACACTGTTTTGTTTATAAAAGGTCCACCGGATGGAAGATCAACTATCCCAGTGTGTTTTAGATGTTTAACATGGGAGTGGTTGAACAGAAAACAAGTTTAAACTTGACATTATTGTCTACAAACCTCCATATTTCCTAAGCATACACTAATAAACAAAACAAATCTGTAAAATTAAAGTTTCTCTTGCTGTTAAAACAGAATACTGGCATTTATTTATTTATTTTAACAACACCTGGAAGAATTTGCTATGCTTTTAATCAACTAAAGTAACATCATCTTATGTGTACATGATCACAGCGCTCTCTGAGATGATGGAGGAGAGGGCACAGGGGTCAAGACCAAGACAAACTCACCTGGCTTTTCTCTTGTTCACTCTCCCTCTTCTGTTCAAATGCTCTGTCCTCCCTCTGCGCTTAGATTAGGTGGTTGAAATCCAGCGCGCGAGTGATGAAATAATCTCCTCAGACAGCTGAAATCAAAGAAAACTCCTCTACAAACTCTGTCTTGTGCTCACACTACTGTAAAAAGATAATTTGACTTGTACTTCCTTGAGGAGCTAAATGTATAAGACACACCCCTGAGTGTGCTTCTCTCTCTCTCATCTCTTTCTCTCTCCACCCTGTCAGTGTGTTAGCTGCTGACATGGTGTGTCTGCTTGCCCCAACAAGTGCAACCCTTGTAAAGAATTCAGCAGTAATCCTGGATGTGGCACAGTGAAAAAAGGAGGTTTTAGTCTCTTTGTGATCTGGTATGCAGCCACTGTCATCACTGACACTGCAATGTTTCTCACTTAACTGTGTTTCTTATTTAACAAAATCATTAATGGTCCAAACTATGATATTTAATTGAGTTCTATTTTCTGGTCTGGGATTGCACAAACAGACAAGCAAAAAGACTCTTGAAATGCCACTCAGACAATCAGATTTAAGGACTGAATACTAATCACTATATATATATATATGTATGTATGTATGTGTGTGTGTTGTTGTTGCTGCTGCTGCTTTCTGATCAGTGTTTCCATTTTATTTGGAATTTATTTTAATTCCAAAACCATGAATTCATTTTCAGTTGAATAATATTCTCACTTTGCATGGCTAGGACAGCTATTTGTTTACACATCAAAAACATACAGACATTTCATTGATTTTATGCTAATTGGATTACTGAATTGCTTTGCTTACAACTGCATGGTTCACAGATTTTTTTGTTTGATATGTACCTGCAGTTGATTTTTACTTTAAGCAAGGTTTAGCTTTTTCTTTATATTATGAAGTTATTATATGAACTTTTTTCAGTGGTGTCATCATTTATTTAATTTATATTTTATTGCTTCTCATCAAATTCATTTATAGTTTTAATTGTTTGACAGTTTTAACATGTAAATGCACCCTAAAAATATTACATTTTAAAGCTTTAAAAATCACCTTTGGTTTGTTTACTGGAGGCATTAGGGGATGTTTTCCTCCTTATATATACAGTGGGTACGGAAAGTATTCAGACCCCCCTTAAATTTTTCACTCTTTGTTATATTGCAGCCATTTGCTAAAAAATTCTCCAATGATGCATGTATCTTAAAATATTGTTAGTAAACAAGTTAAAAGTGTGAAAAATGTATAATAAAGTTTATTTCTAAAAGGCCACAAGGCTAAAAATGCTCTTAATGAGGGAAACATCCTTGTACTCAAACATCCTGTTATAGCTGAACATATTATGTTCTTAGGCAGCCAATTATGTTATATATTCCATTTTATTTTAGTGTGGTTTCCAAACACTATGCAAACACAGATTGTAAACACAAACAGAGAAGTGAAGTCTGTCATTGATGGAAAGCTGGGTGATAACAGCACTTTATTTGACCTTTTCTATTGTAAACTTCATTGTTTAGTCACTAACATTAGAAACTGCTGTACAATGAATTGGTCTTGTGTAATAGAAAGTCACCCTCAGGGCTAATGTATGTGCATTAGTAATGTCTATACTAAAAAAGGCTGCTTATCTCTCTGCTATCTGAATGGAAACCATCTGGACTTAAGCTCTAATGCATAAAGACTACAAAATGAATTGATGCATCTGGCTTGATTTGTGAAAGTTTTGTTTACAATCTGTAATATTGCATAGATCCATCACCTCAGTTGAATTCTCAAGTTACAGTAGTTTTCTCCTCCATTTGTATGAGACTGAAATTGAAAACAAAAGTAAGAATTAAGCTTGACTCCAAGACAACAGTCAGGAAGTGTAACTTAAGTGGCTTCCTGATGGCTTCCTCTTTATCGCTGAATGATATCTGACATGTTGTGTGTGTGTGCAAGTGTGTAATGGGTTTCAGAGATAAAGCAATGAATATCCAGTTAGCTACAGTTTAATGAATTTAATGTGTTTTGCGATATTTGTGATAATGTAAATGTTATGACTGCCTTAATCTGGTAAAAAAAAAAAGGTCCCACATTTCCAGATTTCTGTTACATTTTCTTTTTATATCATTTGTGTTATTCCTTTTTTGTCTCTAAGCAGAGTTTGAAGCAATATCAGCTAATTTTATTTGTGGCTTAAGAGACAGAAATAGTTTAAGTGGTAAGAATATCATGCTAGTGTGTTTATCTTGTATATCTATGTTTACATGTGTGTGTGTGTGTGTAGGCCTGTCTAAATGTAGGTGTCTGTCTTTTGGGTGTGCGTGTGTTCACATGTTTTATTTAGGTCACTTGGTTTTATCTGATGTGTTCGCTCTTACTTGAGCAAAGTATGTGTTTCACTGCAATATTACAGTGCTCATCAAACAATAAAGTCAAATGTAAGCTGTAAACAATCACATTTAACATATAAGAGGTACAACAAACTCTTTGTTGTCACAGTAACTGAATCAATACAGGGATTCAGCACTTGTATCATAGTGAATCTCTCTAAAGTTTAACATGAATGTTGTAACTGTACATGCTAATATACTCAATATAAGATAGATTTTTAACATATAACGTGTTAATATTAATAAAACATTCAAATACAGTTGAACTTTTTAATGAGGAAGTACTGCAGCAGCCAAACTGCACTTTCTGTTTGATACCCAGGCTTTGGATGTCCTCTTTTATTTGCAATATAATTTGGTTACCTGTGTTTTATGGCACATCTAAATGAAGTGTGAAGCATGAAAAACATGATTTATTTTCCACAGCCAGATTGTTCATTCACATTTATTCACCAGATTTAATCCCACAATTTGCTGCCACAAATGCAGTTATTTGACCAATCTAGAACTGATCTGATCTATATGTGATGTAATAAACACTATTTTATCAATCTCTCCTGGCTATTCACAGCAGATTGCAGGCTGTGCTTCGCATAGGGAGGTTAGCTGGTAATCTTGAGTACTGGCTTCTGAAACTGTGCTTTTTGTCGTTTAGCTCTGGAGCTGCATTCTCCTGGCTGCCAGCAGGGGGAGTGCTTTCCTGCGCATTAACAGAAGCGTTCTCTGCCTTCCCTCCTTTGCTATTCTTTGTCTTTTTAACCTTTTCTTTGTCCTGGGACTCATTGGTGAATGTGTTTGGGTCTGTAGCGGCCTCTAGTGCTGGCAGGGTGTCAGGGGGCAAGTCAGTGGGAGTGGGTTTGCCCTCAGCCTGCTCCTCATTGGGGGTGTTCATGTTTGATGGGGAATGTTTGCTGTTGGTGCTCGTGGAACTAAGGAGAAAAGGCATTGAAGATGGAAGAAGACAGAAGCACAACTGTTAAGACTATTTATTAGGATTTTTTTCTGGAGAACATAAAAAAAATGATGGATTGAAAAGTGCAAGGTTGTGGCCTGCTCAAATGATTGGCAGGTAAGTCATATTATCATGTTTCAGGCATCAAAATAGTTCATTTTAAACTGCAGAAAATTTTAAATGCGCATTTATGTTAGGCCATCATATATTAAGTGCTTGCTAAGAAGACCTGCATATGTTGTGTTTTGTATTTGTTGGTATGCTAGTGTTCCCAGTAGGCCTTTTGGACTAGCAAAAGTTCCTTAGTCAACTATTAAGCTTGTCAACCAGTTTTACCAGTTATTTTTTGTCCACCTGTTAGAATTCTGGTCTTTTCAGCTGGGTGGATCACATAGTGTTGCGTTTTGAGTTGTGTTTTTCCAAACTCACCCATTTGAGCTTCTGTCTTCTGAGTCTTTCTGCTCATTGCTGTATCTGAGCTCTGCTGGGGTCTTAAATGAGAGATCTCTCTTTCCCTTCAGCCAGTATGTCTTCATATAACCTTTACCCTTAATCAACAGGGATTAGAATTGATTTCACACCCATTTAAGATGTTATTTGTTTGCAGTATGAGTCATATAAAGTCATACTCATTCCCCCCCCCCCCTTCATTTGAAAAGTTTTACACTGAGAAATGAATAGTACTTTTTGAAATATGCTTAAGGGATGCTCATTTCGGTTAATTTTCCAGACCGACAACCGCCGCTCGTTATATGAACATTAACCGTTAACTGAGAAGATTTTAATATTAAATTAGTATTAAATAAATAACAGAATGGACGAGTGTCTGTGACCCGATAAAAATACACCTGCACTGCTTCTGAGAACAAAGAAAAAAGAATAAAAATAATAAAATAGGCCTACACAAAACATTTTTCTCTTAAATAATTAACAAATTAAGATGACAAAACGAAAACACACACTGAATCCTTATATATGCTTTGAAGATCCGCATGTTTTTCATCTGAGATAAAAATAAATAGCAGGCCTACCTCAGAGCACAACTTGTCTAGTTTTTTATTTAAAAAAATTAACATGTCGACGTGCTGTGGGGCATAGTCTGGAGCGCAGCCTGTTCCATGACAGAAAACACCGGTTTCTGCAGCGTTGAGCATTGTACCCAATCAAATAAATTTTTATGATTGCTCAGATTTCTAACGTAACCTCGGTTCCCTGAGTTAAGGGAAGGAGCGTTGCGTTGCTGACGCTTATGGGGAAACTTCTGCTTACTCTGATACTGAAGCCTGATTTGTTCACGTTCGTGTAACTGCACGAAAAAATAGCGCTTCAACCCGCCAAAAGGGGAGGAGCCGACTGCTATGTAAGCATGAGCCAATAATGAGGACCCTGCTCATCTTCTGAATTGGGGAGTGCTAGGAGGGGGATGACTTGTGCTCTGAACAGAGTGGAAAGCACTTTTGGCACATAGCCGTAGGGCTGCATGATTAATTGAATGCGATTGTCATGCGCAGTTTGTTAGTAAAGCCGGTTCTGTAATCAGCAGGAAATCATCATCACGTGCTTTCAGATGGAGCAGAATTTACTACACATAACCGTAGTTCACTGACAAGTTACACAAAAAAAATCGCAGACGATTTTATTGCGCGATTATGAAATCGTTCGCGATAATGACAGCTGTTTGCATAGCTTCTCCGTGAACTACAGCTCTGTGAAGTAAATACTGCTCCATCTGAAAGCATGTGAAAAGAACACATTTAACAACATATTTTTACTCCAAACTCACTTCATAACGTCAGTCGAGTGTTTGATATAAATTCTTCTGTGAGATGATGTGGCTTCTTACACAGAATAAGGCACGCAACATATTTCATAGTATTTAAGCAGTGATAAAGGCATTGCATTATAAATATACTTTATTTTAATGAAAATTATAATAATAAGAACTCAGATAAACCGTACATTGCCGTAGTCGTGTGTTTCTTAGTCACGTTGAATCAGTGAAAGCAGTTGAATCTTCTGTTTATTCAGCTGCAGCGAATACATTTCCTGGGTTTCTTCTACGAGGCGTATTTGGAGTTTCAGCGCGAGAGCGCCCTCTGGCCTTTGGATGGAGATTTACTGCTGATCACAGAACCGCGCTTTAACTGAAAGATACGCATGACAATCGCAGCTTCTATTGAATCGCAATCTCGATTCCATTTCGATTTATCGTGCAGCCCTACATAGCCGTGTCTCAACTCTGCAGTCGTTATGCCCAAACTCAAGACAGAAAGCATTGACTGACAGTGCTTGCAGGTCACCCACTCACTTGACTGACGCTAAAGCCAGAAGGAGGGCTGTCTTAAGCGACGGGCCGCAAGTCAGCCGACTGGAGCGGCTCAAAAGGAGGACTTTGCAGGGCTCTGAGGACTATACATAAGTCCCAAGTCGGCACAGTATGAGGCAGAGGCAGACTCAATCTCCAAGTTCCCCTCAGAAACTTAACGACTATGTCCTTTCTGCTGACTGACAGGCCAGCCACGAGATAATGATTCACCGTGATGGCTGCCACATATACTTTGAGCATGGAAGGGGTGCACCCCTTGTCCAGCAGCTCTTGTAAAAAGGTTAGCATGTAGGACATGTCGCATGATGATGGGTCCTGGTTCCATGCTGCACATCAGTCAGAAAAACTGACTATTTAAGGGCGTAAAGACATCTTGTAGACGGAGATGTAGCCTCTAAAATTGTATTAGTTACACTCATGGGGAGCTGCAAAGGCTCCTGTCAAGTGGCCAAACATGAAGGCTCCACAGCTCTGGCCGGGGATGCCAAGCCATGCCCTTCGCTTGCGAGATAAGGTCCTTCCTCATTGATATCGGTCAAGGGGCTGCCAATAGCAGCTGAATCAACTTGGGGAACCACATCTTGATTCCTCCAGAGTGGGGCCACCAAGAGGACTGAGCATCTGACTTCCCTGACCTGTCTGATAACCTGAGGAAGCAGGGCAACCAGGGGGAAGGCATCTCGCTGTTTCGAAAAAATAAGTTGGGCAGTGAAAGTTGTCTTCTGTGGGGAAGAGGTCCACCTCTGCCCTGCCGAAAACAGACTAGATGATTTGAACCATTTGAGGATGTAGTCTCCATTCTCCTGGAGCCACATTGTCCCTGGACAGCATGTCTGCCCCTTGGTTCAGTCTGCCCGGTACATGAACTGCTCTCAGCGAGAGGAGTTTGCCTTGTGCCCATAAGAGTCCCGATGGGACGCTTTATTGAAACAGGCAAGGAGTTTTCCAAGGGGCCACAGCTATGATTCAGCGGTGGGTTACCTTGAGATAAAAACGTCCCAGGCATCAAGCGTGGGACGGGACATAGGCTTTGAACCAAAACTGGAGGGGCCACATGTGAAGCATTCCAAGAGGAATCACAAAGGACGTGGACGATATCAGGCCGAGCATCCTCTGGAAAGAGCTGAGGGGATGTGAAGTACCCAGTTTGAATGACGCCGCTGAACAGTGAGAGAGTGTTCCGGTGTAATCCATGCCCGCATCTGGGCAGAATCAATAACTGTCCCCATGAAGACTACTCGCTGGGAGACAGAGAGCTCTTGGCTAAATTAATTATTAGCACAAACCGGTCCAGGTGGCTGAGCAGCAGCAACCTGTGAGCGATGAGATCCTGTTCCGATCTGGTTAAGACCAGCCAATGGTCTAGGTAATTCATAATGCAGATTTCCATCTGTCTCAGAGGGTAAAAGAGCGGCGTCTGTGCACTTCTTAAAGTGCGTAGGGCCAGAGACAGTCACCCCCTCAAACGTGAATCTCAAGAGCAGTCTGCGATGAGGGGCTATCTGGATGTGAAAATAAATGTCTTTCAGACCCACCAATTAAAAAAACGAATCCCCGGGGCATATTGCGTGAGGATCTGCTTCCAAGTCAGCATCTTAAATGGGCAATTCTTAAGTGCACATTTCAGATGCCTGAGCTCACCACTTTTTTGGGAACGAAGATGTTCGCTACAGGAACCGTTTCCATGCTTCCTTCTGCAAGCAGATTTTGCACTTCAGACCGGAGAACATGAGCACTATTGTCCTGTACTGAATTTTGAATAATACCTCTGAAGTGAGGTGGCCTGCGAGCGAACTGAAGCAAGTAACCTCATTCTACAGGGCTGAAGCACTTAGGCAGGAAGTGGTGCATAACCTGTGATGACTTATGTGCTGCAGTGAAGTGCTTTGTAAATCTGTCGGGCAGATGGCGGGTAGAGGTGTGCAGCGAAAGCCTCTTCTCGAAGAGAAACTTGCCATATCCTCTTACTCTAATGCCGTCAACAGAGGTGAGGGCAGCAGGAATAGAAAAGTAGACACGCGCCGAGTAGATGCGTGCCACGCCTTGGTAAGTTCATCGTGAACTTCCGGGAAAAATGGCACCAGTCTCTAGCGGGAGATTCATTGACGACAGACCAGTGGGCATCATTCGTCTAAATGGCATGGGCAGGCTCTTCCGGAGCCAACCATTTTGTGCTGAGATTCTCCACAGCCTCGTGAGAATGTGAATCAGTTCTCCATCGGCCCGTAATAATCCATTTGGGAGAAGGGTATCAGGATCCTCTCTGGAGCATGCCCAATCCTCCAAATATGAAGCTGTCAGTGATATAGAATCATCAGTGACCGCATTCTCCTTTGATCTGCCTAAAAAGATCAAACTGCTCGTAGACGAGGGTGCTGATCCTCATGTGTAAACACACCGGCGGATCAAAGTGCTGCGTGAGACTTATGCTCTCGCAGTGAGAGCAGTCTGCCTCAGTGAGCGCAGCCTCAGTGTGGGTGTGGCCCAAGAACCAAATATATACACTACCGTTCAAAAGTTTGGGGTCAGTAAGATTTAAAAAAAAATTATTTAATACTTTTATTCAGCAATGATGCATTAAATTGATCGCAACAATGACAGTAACTACTTTAGCAAAAAAAAAAAAATTATGTTTCAGATAAATGATGTTCTTTTAAACTTTCTATTAATCAAAGAATCTTAAAAAAAGTGTCATGGGTTCCACAACAATATTAAGCAGCACAACTATTTTCAACATTGATAATAATAAGAAATGTTTCTTGGGCTTTTTAGAATGATTTCTGAAGGATCATGTGACACTAAAGACTGTAGTAATGGCTGTTGAAAATTCAGCTTTGACATCACATGGATAAATTACATTTTAAAATAAATTATTATAACATTTCACTATATTTCTGTTATACTTGGTAAGAATTAGAGACTTATAAAAAAATTCTTACCAGCCACAAACTTTTGATTGGTGTACATAGTTTTGTAAGTTTTAATGTGCTTACCATTGTTGATATTGGCAGTGAAGAAGATGATGAGGTTGATTATGTACTGTAATACCTTAACAAAAATCTTTCCTCGTTCCTCGATGATGTATGGTTCATGCTCCAGATGGTCTTTGGTAGTCTGACTGATGTGGATTTGCATGCCCTAGCCGCACAGAAATAATAAATTTAATAATTAGCTTTTTAATTAACTGCATTTTCTTTAAAATTAATTAAAAAAATTACTCATTAATATTTTTTATTGCACAATGAGACCATTTTGTTTAGTTATTAGAGGCTGTTCATTTTTCTCAGTACAGCATAAGAAAGTGGCTCACCACGCCATTAGACTCCATCCGAGAAGCCGTGTTTACTGTGTCTCCAAACAGGCAATACCTGGGCATCTTCAGACCCACCACACCTGCGACCACCATTCCAGAGTGAATGCCTGGGTGAAGACCACCACAAAAGCATTTAGCTGGAGCATTAAGAGTTTAAAAAGTCTAAATTACTTTCACACATTGTTTTGCATGTAGAGAAAATATCAGATTAAAGGGTTGCAGTTGCTTTGTTATGTGATGCTGTGTGAGTCTGGGTGCACCCACCGACACGGATCTGGATGTTGTCCCCGGTGGAGGGGTCTTTTAGGTGATCAATGGAGCTCAACATGTCTAGAGCCATGTCACAGATGTGGTGGGCATGGAATGTGGTCTTATTGGGCACACCTGCCACAACCATGTAGGCATCCCTAATGGTCTCCACCTGAGGGGGCAAGAGCATTTGTTGCCATTTCAGTCAATTTTGAAAGCTTTAATAATGACGGTAAAGATTAAAATACCTTAATTAGAAATATTTAGTAGTAAAAAATAGGGATGCATTGAATCATAAAGATTATAGCAGATACCACTAAGCTGATATTTTCAAGTTTTTTATATTCAAAATGCTGTGGTTTTTCATTCAAAATATACATCCAAAATTATTTTCATGTCATGGTTAATAATAAAACCCTTAAAGACATTTAATGAAACATAATGTATAATAAATGTATATTAATTTTGAGATTTGCTAAATATTACATACACTACTGTTCAAAAGTTCAGTGGAATCTGTAAGGTAATTAAATTAATGTTATTTCAGCAAGGATTCATTAAATTGATCAAAAGTGAAAGTAAAATAATTTAAAAGATTTCTATTTAAAATAAATGCTATTCTTTTTATGCTGTTCAAATGCTGTTCAACTTACAGTAATCAAAAACCATGAAAAAATGTATCTTGGTTTCCACAAAAATATTAAGCAGCACAACTATTGTGTTGATGATGATAATAATAATAATAATGAAGAAGAAGAAGAATGTTTCTTCAGAACCAAATTAGCATATGATTTCTGATGGGTTCATTTTTGATCAAATAAATCCAGAGGCTTCTTTCAAAAACATTTTAAGAAAATCTTTTAAACAGTCATATATCCACTATCGACTGATATGTATACATTAAAAAAAAATCTCTAATATATAACTGATATGGTGCTGATATATTGTGCCTTCCTTGTAAAGAAAAAGCAGAGGACTCTCTTGAAGGTCTTTAAGGTCAAAGAACATGCATGAGAAGCTATTATGTTGTGTCAAGTTGCTTTCGTTTGTGTTACTTCTATTACCTTATAGACATTGTGCTTCTCGCTGAGTGTGTCAAAAACGATGTAGATCTCATTTAGCATGTCCACCACCTGCATGGGGGTGATGTGGATACAAATCTCATTAAACTTCACTACATCACTGAACAGGATGGTCACGTCTGGGAACACCTGGAGGAAGATAACAGATCAAGAACACCACTTAAAAACAGCCGGACAGCACTAGAGGAAAAAACAGACTGCTTTTCATTGTATTATATTATCTCTTTTGAGATCTTGATATAGTTTAAATCACAATGGTCAGTCAATACTAAGGGAAATTCGTATAAATTGTGTGTTTATAAGTGTGTTTAATGGGTGGGTTTGTGTGAGAGTGTGTACCTGACATGTCTCCAGAGCTGTGATTCCCTTGCGCAGTCTGTCCGCTACTGCTTTGGGGATCATGGCGTACAGCAGGGAGTCTCCTCTCTTCTTCTCCTCATCCAGCTTTTTAATGATCTCCTGCAGCTGTGCATACTTCTGCTGCTCCTGTAGGTGGCACAGTACGAGTTCGGCCTGTCATTTGCATGTTATTTCTAGATGCATAGCCACAGCTAGAGAATCTGTGCTTATTAAGTGGCTTAATAGACTTGAGTCAGTCCATGCCAGAAATTCTGCTACATAACTCCTTTTATATAAACTGAAATAAAATGTGTCTCTTTGGTTGTGGATTACAGTATTTGTAAGTCTAGATTTTGTGCTCTGCGGCAATCATACCTGGTCAAGTGCCAGCTGCAGCTCGGCTGATTGCTGTGTTCCTGCCAGGATGAGCTCTCTGCTGGAGTCGTGCAGGTTTAAATCATTGACGTAAACACCCATTTTTATCATGTCCTCCACTGTCTCAATACTGTACAAAGGAGAATACGTTTTAATACAGACTTAAACATCTTTAGCTATAATCTTACAGCTTTTTTTCTGTGGTTAAACTATTTACAGACAGATCTGACCATTGTAGACTCATAATAACACATTTTAAAGAAGCCATACCTTGGAAAACATGATTGAAGAGTTAAACTAGTAGTTTTTCAAATGGCGACATACAGGTCTGTTCTGATTGGCTCATGGACAGTAGGGAGAAAAAAAACTATGCTAATACAAATGATAAAAAGCCAACTAACCGTGTAATTTTGCATAGTTGAGAAATTAAATGGGCTTAGTAACTTTAAAGGGAGGAGAAAGTACATATTTTTTAGTTGAAATTTATTGTTGATTTTAAGGACATATTTTTGCTGCAGTATTGGACTATGTCCAGTGTAAAACAAAACCAGTTGAGCCTCCGAGATCAGAGAGAGAGAGAGAGAGAAAGTGGGGAATGGTCTTTTAAAACTAAATAATTATAGACATTTTCGGGGCTAAGGAAATGTTAATATTTTAAGCAGACCTCAGGATTAAACTAAAATGGTTTGAGAGTGCAAGATATTATCCCTTTGAAATGACTTGGCAGAGAAGCCTTGATTGTCAGTTTTATGCGGCAATAACTAAACTACTGTTTTCCATTAGCTCAGGATGCAAAGTTGTAAACATTTGAGATCATGAGAGCTTACATGGGAGTTCCTAGAAAGATGAGGGAGTCCCACTGAGGGACATACTTCATCTGGCCCTTGAGGTGGAGAGGCTTTTTAGGGGGCTCCCGCATGTCTTCAAATATGGTTTCACTGCACTTGCCTACACAAGAGAGGGGAAGTTTCATTTTTCACTGCATAGACAGAAGATTTACATTCATCACGAGGCACTTTGAGTCAATTTTAGTTCTCAAAACACAAAATAATGATTGTAATTTCATTGACTTGATCAAATTTCTTGTTGTTTTCATGCCAGTGGAGCTTATTCAGAGCATCACTTTACTGTAATGTGTCTAACCGGTGACAGTCTGAAAAGCCAGCAGCTCGATGTCCTCTCCTCCAGAATTAGCCGAGCTGTTGTACTGAGTCAGAGAGCTGCTGTATTCCTGATCCGTCCCCTTCATTTCCTCCATCACTTTAACATCTGAGAGAACAGCAGAGGCACAGTGACAGAAGTCAGCATGATATGTTTTAGGACATTATCTGCTTTAATCTGTGTAGAGGCAAGATGTTTGGGTGTGTGAACTGTCACATATCTGATTTTAGATGTCTAAGGTTCTGATTGGTCAGTGTGGTTTCACATCATCTTTCACAAAGATTTATTTACACATCGGTCAGTGTCATACAGTATAAGAGTGTACATAAAGAAAAGGGTGAATCTTTTTAAAAATCTGGTTTAAAACACACATGAATGTCTTAGAAATGTACTCTTTGTCCTAAAAATGTACTCTTTGTTGGTTTTATGGCTTTGAAAAATCTCCATTTACAAAAAAAGTTTACATTTAATGGCTCTAAAAATGTCATGTGGTGATACCATTGTAATCTTAATTTGCAAACAAACAAACACTATCTAACATTTGGGGTCAGTATTTTTTTTATGTGTCTGAAAGAAGTCTCTTATGCTCACCAAAGCTGCTTTTATTTGATCAAAAATACTGTAATATTGTGAAATATTATTACAATTTAAAATAATCGTTTTCTATTTTAATATATTTAAAAATGCAATTTATTCCTGTGATGGCAAAGCTGAATTTTCTTCAGTGTCAAAGTTGAAAACAGTTGTGCTGCTCAATATATTTGTGGAAACTTGATACATTTTTTAGGATTCTTTGATGAATAGAAATGTCAAAAAACTGCATTTATTTGAAAAATAAATCTTTTGTAAGATTATAAATGTCTTTATTCCTACTTTTTATTAATTTAATGGCGGAATAAAAGTACTTTTTTTTTTTTAAATAAATAAAATTCATTTCAAAATTTAGCATTACATCACTGACTTTTTAAAAACATATTATGGATATTTTGTTTTCAGCTGCCAATAAGAGATAAGTGTGGAACATTTGACCAAAATTCCACAGATTTCCCCCCAAAAACAGCTTAAAAACTGTGAAAACATTCTGCTGATTCTGTTTTGGCCTCACAATTACTAATCTAAGCACTGTACCTCTCTCTTCCTTTTTGGGTTTTTCACTCTCCTCTTTCTCCTCTGGTTCTTCTTTGCTGAGTTTAGGGATGTTGACCTTCTGTTTGCTCTCTACCACAGCTTTAGACAGCAGTTCAAACACATTGTTGAGGTGGGTGTAGATCTGAAAGAGCACACACCAGCAAAACGCTTTTTCAGGACATAAATTGCAAGAAAAGAAAGCATAAACATTTTTTTAGATGCTTAGGTTACTTTCATGCTGCTTTGGCTTTGGATCTGTTCCCCTACCCTCCTTTTTACTCACATTATCCCAGCTAAATTCCAGCATGGGTCGCACCAGGGTAAACTCCTCATTGACCTTTTTGCCCTGCAGATCAGAAAACACCTCTTTCAAACCATCTCCGATACGATACATGGTCATGTCTCTGCGGAATATCACGCTGAAGGGGAACATGTCAAAAAAGATTCCTCGCTTCATGGGCAGTTTCTCATAGCCTGGAGCTGTTTTCTGCTGGGGCATACGGTGCTTAAATGCAGCATTGTCAAAATTCATCTTGTACACCTTCAGAAAGAGAGAGAGAGAGAGTGAGAAGATCAGAAACGTGAGAAATAAAGAATAACATAGCTGGGTTTGTGTACACAGAGAATGGTAAATGTCTGTTTGGACTCCTACCACATATGTCATTTTCTCTGTTTCCTCTTTAGACAGAATCTCCACCTCAATGTCTGTGTTGTAAAACTGTCGGCCCACCTGAGAGAGCTGCCCTGCAGAGTAGTCACAACAGACGCTATTTGAATTTTAAACAGGCCGAGGCTACAAACACTGTGGACTGACCAGTTTTCATTGTATAGGATCTAGTCATACATCTTTTTACCACATCTCTGTTATCTAAGCTTTACTTTCAGATCATTATTTTACCTCACACATCTCTCAAGAATTTTAATATACAGTTTCAGAAGGCACACGTACAGAAGTCACCATTAAGCTAATCCTGTTAATATGGTAACTGTACAAATAATAATTGTTCTGTATAAAGCAGATTTATTAAGTATTGTACATATAGGGAAGCTCAGTAGAAAACTATTGTACCGTTTTTGGAAAGTAAATTATATTAGTTGTGATTGGGTGAAATCGGGCAGAAATCTTAGTACTTGACCCGTAATAATTATTATAAAACAGTTCAATTCTGCCCTTGAATTTACATTAGTGGTGGCAATTTTTCAGTGACTCTTTCTGTAGGTTACTTTATGTCATTAGGTGGCAACAGGTGGCAGCTATCTTTATAAATGACAAATTGAATATTTGATTTAAACCAATTTAACTGAATCATTGAATCACTGAATCATTCATTCAACCGATTTGTTCAAAACAGTGATTCTTTCAGGAATGAAGCAAGTGACTTGCTTGCTACTGTATGTGAATGCAATGTGAATCATCGAATCATTCATCCAGTCAATTCATTCAGGAACCAAACATCACTATATGTTGCTCTGAGATGCTCAGTGGTTAATTTTGCTTTGGCTTTTTTTTTTTTTTTACATTTGCATTGGTGGAGCAACAAAGTAACTGACCATGTAAAACGTATATTGTTGACGTATTGTTTATTGAACTGTTGTATAAGCAATTTCACACTATCAAACCTGCTGCTGGTCTGAATACACTCTCCACAACATGCCTATTACCTTTGACAAACTGTGTGAATCCTTTCCTGGTTGAACGGTAGTGCAGGGTAAGACTCGTCTCACATTCTTCCTCTACACAGAAACTGGGTGGCTGGACTTTTGGGAAGGAGAAACGGAAGTACTCATGCAGGTTATCAAGCTCATTGATGAAATCTCGTACATTGCGCCCCAGTACCTGAGACAGAGATATTAGAAGAGATTTAAAAGCTATGTAAAATGTGTATACAATTGTACAGTTAACCACTGAGAAAGCCCAATAAAGAAAACTAAAAGAAAAATGTTATGCACTACCGTTCAAACGTTAGGGGTCAGTAAGATAAAAAAAAAAAATGTTTTCAAAACAAGTCTCTTATGTTCACCAAGGGTGCTTTTATTTATTGATTTGATCAAACTACAGTAAAAACAGTATATTATGAAATATTTTACAATTTAAAATAACTGTTGTCTATTTTAATATAGTTTAAAATATCATTTATTCCTGTGATGACAAAGCTGAATTTTCAGAAGCCATTACTACAGTCTTCAGTGATCCTTCAGAAATAATTCTAATAAGCGGATTTGCTGCTCAATTTTTCTTATCATTAATGTTGAAAACAGTTGAGCTGCTTAATGTTTTTGCGTGAACCGATACTTTTTATTTAAAGATTCTTTGAATAGAAAGTTGAACAGCATTTCTATGAAATATATTTTTTTGCATAGTGTAAAAGTCTTTACTGTGACTTTTGATCAATTTAAAGCATCCTTGCTTCCTAGCTGAATAAAAGTAATTAAAAATAAAAAACCCTGACCTCAAATTTTTTTAACAAAACGGTAGTGTATACCTAAATGAGTACCTGTCAAATACAGAGTCTACCATGTTTGAAAATCACCTTTAAGATCCTCTCATAGCCATAGTTTCCTATCCGCTTGACCATGTAGACCCCGAAAGCGTACATCAGCTCATCGTGAGTCTTTCCCAAAACCTCTCCAGCTGCCTTTGCCAATCTTAGGATCAGATTATCACTGGAATAACAAACACCAGCATTGTTAAGTGAGCCAGATGCAATCTTGACACTTAATTTATCAGATATGCGACTCTAGGACTTACTTGTACATCTGGTGTCGAACAAATTTGAGGTGCGGGATCTCTGCTCTGGCCTCGATTAGCCTCCATACGTCCTCTCCATATGATTCATTAATGTAATCATTCACTGCTTCCAAATACAGGCCATACATCTTCTACACTGCCCCAGAAATATGATCAGCCTGCAGAGAGCACAATATCTGGATCTGAGATGCTTCAGTGACATCAAGAGGCTTTTAGTTGGGTGGGAAAAATCAATATAATGCCCAAATAGACAAGGTGCATAAACAAGCAGAGATTTATAGAAGACTTGAAGATGCAAACATATAATTCATCTCTGATATGATTAAACTGTCCAGTTTTAAACGAATAGATGTTCACTAGATATTATATTGTTGTAGACAATTTTGTGTAATCTATGAGTCTGAGAGCCTCTGTGTTACTTATTCATGCTCTTATTTTTTGTTGTCTATTTTTGTAAAATGCTATTTTGTTTGATCGATGAGTTCTATATAATATTGCTGTGCTGTTATAAACCATCTCCCCTGTGACAGGCTATTTAATACCCAACATCCTCTATAACCCCTATATTCATGTAAAAAATGTTTAACAGATAATACAGTCTATACTACTGATGAACACCAAATTTGAATAAACTAATAGATCAATAGATGATAGAGAAATAAGAGTATGTATGTGGCTTACCTGCAGACCCTCAGTCCTGTGTAATGAGTCAGAATTTGGCTAAAGCAGAACCTTCTCTCTCTTAGTCTCTCTCTCTCTCTTTAAACACCTGTTTTTGGCACCTGAAGCACTTTATACTCCTTTCTGTCAGGACAATGGCCACACAGGCTAAAACAGGACAGTGGGAGTGTGTTTGTGGCAGGTGCTAAACAACACATAAGCATGTACAGGCGTCATGCATAGTCACCTTTCTCCTTCTCATTTACATTTGTTGATATAAATGAACTATAATTCTAAAGTTATGCCATTTATGTGAGATTTACTCCCGTAATGAACCTGCTTTCAAACACACACACACACGCACGCACACACACAGTTTTGTTTTTGTGAAAAGTGGGGACATCCCATAGGCGTAATGGTTTTTATACTGTACAGACCGTATATTCTATTGCCCTACACTAACCCTACCCCTAAACCTACCCTTCACAACTTTCTGCTATTTCAGATTTTCAATACACTCTATTCTGTGTGATTTATAAGCGTTTTGAAAAGTGGGGACATGGGGTAATGTCCTGAAAAGTCACCTTCTCCTTGTAATACCTATGTCATACCTTTGTCGTTATACAAATGTATGTCCTCGTTTGTCACACACACACACACACACACACACACAGTTTTTGTGAATTGTGGGGACATTCCATAGGCGTAATGGTTTTTATACTGTACAAACCGTATTTTCTATTGCCCTACACCTAATTTTAGCATTTTTAGATTTTCAAAAATTTCATAAATTTATAAGCCTTTTGAAATATGGGGACACTCAAAATGTCCTCATAAATCATCTTCTCGTTGTAATACCTATGTCATGTCATTATACAAATTTGTGTCCTCATAAATCACACACACACACACACACACACACACACATCCATCTAACGGTCTGCCTGTTCAGACTAGAGGAGATGGGGATTGGTGTTTTTATACTGTACAAACCGTATTTTCTATTGCCCTACACCTAATTTTAGCATTTTTAGATTTTCAAAAATTTCATAAATTTATAAGCCTTTTGAAATATGGGGACACTCAAAATGTCCTCATAAATCATCTTCTCGTTGTAATACCTATGTCATGTCATTATACAAATTTGTGTCCTCATAAATCACACACACACACACACACACACACACACACACACACACACACACACACACACACACACACACCAAATACATTTAATTTTAAAATATGTATGACTTGTTATTGACTTCTGTTGTTTTTGTTACTGAGCTATGATATCTCCTATCCATTGTGGAATCCTTTATATTGTCATTAATACATGTTTTATGATGTTTATTAGGCTACTGTCATTCATTGCGATAGCTGATTATTAAAAGATAATTCATATTATGCATTTCTGTCTCTAAAACCTTTAACATATTGGATAAGAGAATTAGAAAGAGATGAATAAAGACTGTATTATGAATGAAACGTATTATGCAATGAAAGAAAAACTGTACTTAACCTAACCTGATATAAGTACAGGAAATTCATGCATACATTCTGTATTTATGTAATATTTTTAACGTATTGAAGATTGCACAGATATGTCAAAATTTGAGTAGATAGTTAATATTTTTCCAGTTGTTTTAAATCCTTTTAAAGTAAACAAAAGGTCTCATAAAAATCTTAAAAGCAGATTCTTCTGTTCTCTCTCTCTGTATTACTTTCATTATCCGCTAGGGGCCACTGTTGACGCATCGTCTTTACGCTGTTGACTCAACGCTGAAAGCAGCAAAACGTCTAGGCTGTTGCCCTTTACTATCAAGCGACTCGTTATCGTTGCTTTGCAACTCAAATAAATTACTTGCATCATATTTATCCTGTATATAGGCCTAGTGTGTGTGTGTGTGTGTGTGTGTGTGTGTGTGTGTATATCATATATATATAAGCATATATATATATATATATATATATGCTAATGTGTGTGTGTGCACGCATCCCGTGCTTGACAGTGCAATTGGTGGTGTGTGGAGAACGGACCGGAGAAGCAAGAATCGTGTTCCTGTAGCTTCCTCACAAGCAAATAATTAGCATGTCTTTGTTTCCAGCCACCCAAGAAAACCCTCGTAGCACCTATCAGCCTCTATCTCTCACATAAAGTACTCTCTCTCTATGGTTTATTTGAATAATAAAAAAGGGTCATATCCAAGTTCACCAGTTAGGCTACTATTGGTCTCTTTAATTCTTGATTATTTCTTTATTTCTCTGCATAACTGTACAATATAAGTTACAGTAGGTCATAATGCCTGTGATGAACATGATAGAGTAGTCACAACAAGGATAATATCTCAGTATCTATTGGTTGCTGGTTTTACATACCTTGCTCAAAACACAATTAGAATAGGTTCGTGAATTATGTTCTCCAAACTCATAGTTTCATCCTATTTTTATTTATTTAATTTTTGTTGTAATAGCTGTTGAGTAAGCAAGAGAACACAATAAAACTACACTGACAAATTTTAGGTAATAGTCAACATAAATTATTTGTATTTTATTTAAAGATTTAAATTGAAGATAACTGACTTGAGACAACTTGCCCCACTATAAAAATGTAATGTGTTTTTGATCAATTGTTTCTTTTTTTCTGGGAAATAACTTTTGTTTTCTTGTTTTACACAAACATGTCATGGGTATATAGGATAAAAGTAAAACATTTTACATATTAAACAGTTGCATATTTCGTATTACATATTTAATTTGTATTTTTAGATATTGTTTGCAAATACATTTTAATGTCAATTTTAAATTGTTTAAACGTAGGTACTTTTCAATTCCATTTGATTTTATGATAATGATGAGCTATTTTAATAATAACTAGTTAGTTTTAGCAGTTTTTATTTTGTAGCCATGACTTTCAGTAGGCTATACAGAAATTAACTTTCAACCATAAACCTTCCTGTGATAAATATTCAGTAAAATGTATGACAACTAGCCCCGATCTCCCCTATACACACTTATATTCAAATTATTTCTTTGAGATATTGTCTCCAGAACCTTCCCTCCTTTTCATCCAGCGAGGTACTTTTACTCTTGCCTCTGAGGATTATGCATAACAAATACCTTGATCATTTGTTTGCATTAGCATTTCAGCTTTGTGCTGAAATCTTTCGAAAATCCCATGTCAGTCTATCTGTGAGGCAAATCGAATTTGTATTTTTAGATTTAGATTTTTTAGATATTGTTTGCAAATACATTTTAATGTCAATTTTAAATTGTTTAAACGTAGGTACTTTTCAATTCCATTTGATTTTATGATAATGATGAGCTATTTTAATAATAACTAGTTAGTTTTAGTAGTTTTTATTTTGTAGCCATGACTTTCAGTAGGCTATACAGAAATTAACTTTCAACCATAAACCTTCCTGTGATAAATATTCAGTAAAATGTATGACAACTAGCCCCGATCTCCCCTATACACACTTATATTCAAATTATTTCTTTGAGATATTGTCTCCAGAACCTTCCCTCCTTTTCATCCAGCGAGGTACTTTTACTCTTGCCTCTGAGGATTATGCATAACAAATACCTTGATCATTTGTTTGCATTAGCATTTCAGCTTTGTGCTGAAATCTTTCGAAAATCCCATGTCAGTCTATCTGTGAGGCAAATCAGGAGCTCTCAGAGGAGCTATGAAGCCGTATGTGTGTGTGGAGGTTGAATGCAGCATATGTGAATGCGCGTACATGGATGTGTGGGAGGACAGCATGCTTATGGTTCCAAAGCCAATGCTCTGAAAACCTCTGCCGAACTTCTGTTTTATTCTTATGGCGGGTTAAGGAATTACATAAGACATCTTATTGATTTGTTGTTTTGTATGTAATGAAGAAAGATGGAATAATTTAGTGATGTACATCTCCTTCAAACATCTCCAGCATACAACTGGTACTGTGAACTTGTGTGCGTGTATAATGACACGCTTTTATGTTTGTTGGCGTGCATGTGTGTTGCTACTTCGCTGCTGAATGATGGATGAATCGTGTTTACATTAGTCAAAAATATTACTAATGCATGTACATGGCGGCACATCCTGTGGTCTGACACTGATGGATTTCACGCATAATAAGGCCAGACGCTTTCAGGACCAGTAGTCAGAGGGAAGAATGCAAATACCCCCATCATATCTAATATGTATTCACTCATAAATGTTAATTCAATGAGTGTGCGTATTTACCACCAGAATGACTTCACGAAATATTGCCACATTTTCAAATATGAACTCACTATTTGGCAAATCATTTGTGTGGTCCCTGTAGATAGGATTGAGTCTGCAGCTTATTTAATAGGAACGTGACCATACAAAGGCAATGTGGATAATTCACACGTTGTGAAAATGGAAATTTCTTGGCAGACGAGCCTGAAGCCATTATGCCCCATAGCTGAATCCTGAATACCCATCTGCATCTGTTTC